TTTTGCGCGGGCGTTCACGGGAGTGGATGTGGTGGCTGGTGTGGAGTAGGCAGAGGGTTAAACAGAGCCAGTCGGTGTCACCGGGAAAAAGAGAAATCGTACACAGGCTTGACCGGTTGTGTTCCTTCAAAAAAAAAAGAGCCATGAAATAGCGAATAAACACAGGAGCACGGGAAGGCTGGAGTACTGAGGCCGAAGGGTCCGTATGCCCCAATATCCCATCTCCAGCTGTAGCCAGAGGCAGATGCTACCGGAAAAACAGTGTAAGAAAGAGGGCAAGCGCACAGTGAGCCTCCTTCTCCAGTACCTTCCCTGCCTCCTGCTCAGACGCGTAGGGGCTAAGCAGTGAGACCAGGCAGTAATACATTAACTTTTCTCAAAAGCCAGGTCTAATATCGCAAAAGCATTCATCCTAGCAGGTATTTCTGCCTTCGGGATCTGATCTGTGCTACATTCTCCATCCTCAATTAATTCCCAATGTCCTAGCACCTCTGCTGCTCTCTAGCCTTCAAAGCAGTTAGTTGCCTCTGTGAATCGTATCCCCTGTCGGCTTGTAAGAAATGCTGAGAAATTTCAATGACTGAAAAATCAAAAGGCTTGTCTAATACAACAGCACCCTCTTCCAAACACACTGACATTGTAATGTTTAAACAGCTGCATTGTACCGTGCAAAAGCTCTGTCAAGCCGCAGAGCAGCCAGCATGATCTAAACCTTTAGAAAGAGAGGATAAATATTTCTGATTTCCACCCCGCCAGCTTGTGAATTGTCCAGGCCCCTTCCATCTAATAATCAAAACTGACTGTGAAGTGAAATAACCTGAAAAAGTTCTGGTTTCTCTGAGAAAAAAAAAAAAAAAATGGAAAACGAGTCACAAACGCATGAACATCTGGAGATGACTAAAAACACAGAGGACTTCGGGATCGAAGATACATGATAGTGTATCCAGTAGGCGAAGAGCAAAATTATCACTGATGTCCACAATGCAGCTGCCTGTTGTACATATTTTCCTAAGTGGCTGCAGCCAAAGTTCACAGAACTAACATGCAATTTAGGAGTTAAAAGTCATTTTAACAATTCTTTTCTGTAATAGTGTCCTACTGCTAGGGAAAGGGCAAAGCCATCCAGAGTTATTGTTTAGCAACCAGTTCAGTGATACAGTTTCTTCTCATTCCCTGTATTTAAAACAGAGAAGAGGAGAGAGTAGGAGCATTTGGTGCAACAGGTCAAGTTACTGCTGCACTCTGTTTCCAGAGCCAGGTCCCCGTTAAATAAAGGTTCAGGATGCTGCTGCTGTTTGGGTCGAACTTGTAAAAGATGTGTGCAACATAATACAACCTAAACACGATATACAACTTCCAGCTCTGTATTTCTGCCATGTAAGGGCCTCTGCTAACCCTCAGTGATGTCACCTCGAGTTTTGCTCCCGACTTCCATGGGCTTTAAATCAGGCATGAAGACTGGTGGTGAAAATCCATCTCCCCCTTGGCCCCAGGTGGGAGCAGGCTGCTGGCGTGCAGCCGGCGCAGGGACAAACCCGGGACTTCTCCCACTCTGTAGTGCTTTGCCATTCCAAGTTGTCACATTTTGAAGCCCTGTTTCTTGATGCCTGTTACAAACTGTAACATTATTTCTTTCTCCTCATTTTTGGATTTTTGTTGTGTTGTTCTTTTTTCTTGGTGGTAGGCAAAACGAAGATAATGAAGAATTTTTGCCAACTGGAGAAACCTCCATAGACTCCTACCCAAACTGGTTAAAATTCCACATTGGCATTAATCGGTACGAGTTGTATTCCAGACATAATCCTGCAATTGAGGCTTTACTACAAGACCTGGTCTCCCAAAAGATAACCAGTGTTGGTATGTTTGGATATATATCATTTTTTATGATTATTTGCTCACTGTTCAGGATCTTATTGCTGTTTGAATATTAATGAATATTTTGCATGGCTTCTCTCCTACAACATTGCTTCCTGACTTCTGCGCTCATTTTCCCTGTTAAACATAAAGAGATATCGCCAGCTCTGTATTACCTGAATAATTGAAGTCTGCCAGCAAGGCAAACCCCATTCGTTTCAGAGATCTTTTAGTCACAATCAGGCTGAAAGTGCCCTATTCGGTTATTTAAAATAAATATGATAATAAAAAAAAGGATGGCAAAAAGCAGATAGCATCTTGCACGAGCTAGATTTGTATTATTAGCTGATTATTATTTAAAAGGCTGTGTCTGGCAGCGCTCGTCTTCCCGAGGAAGGAGGGAGGTGGCTGACCTGCAGCGATGGCTGCGGGAGCATCTGGCGCCGCTGGGCTCTGCGGCTCGGCGGAGCTGCAGCTTCCCCGGGCATCGCGCAGGGACCTCCAGGCAAGCCAGCCTCCCGCTGAGCAGAGTTCAGCTCTGTTTATTCTGCTTGTAAATCAACAACGGAGATGTGCCCGTGTCAACCTTTGGCTCTGGTTAAACAAGGTGACACAGTTCGGGGCTTTTCTCCAGGGCTGTTTAATGACAACGTGTGTCTCCTTGAATTTATCTGTGTAGCTGCACGGGGAAAAAAAACCACAACCCCAAACGAAAGCCTTGGGATACTAAACAAATGCACACCCCGTGGTTTCCAGAGGTAGAGAGCTGCAGCACAGCCAGCGGTTTCCATCGGCCGCGCAGAAAATGAAGTTACTTGCGCTGACCACAAAGTTGCTAAGTCCGTTTCAGAGGGATGAAATAGCAGGAGCTCTGTAAAAGTGCTGATGGTGTGTTGGCACCGCGGGATGAGGTCAGCAGGTCTTTAACCCTGCAAGGCAAAAATTCCCCTGGCTTCAGCAGGAAATGGCCGGTGCAAGAATAGCATGAGTAGCCCCAAGGTTTACATTTTCCATCATGTGAATCACAGCGGCTGCTGAGCAGGAATAAGGGAGATCCTCGGTCATCAAGAGTGGGCTGATTTAGCTGATCCGGATGGAGTAGGTGTAAAACGCAGGATGCCACAGGAGAGCTTTGCCTCCATGAATCAAGCTGCCTGGCGGCTGTACTCAGCACACAGCACTGCTCTGAGCTCTGCTGCGGCAGGATTTTGGATAAAGCAGTTTGCGGTACCCAGGTGCCATCCCACATGTTGGATTCAGGGGTCCAGTGGACACCTAGCTCATAAAAGATGACAAACACAGGCTCGTTTATTAACCTGTGATGGGTTTTCTGTCCCCAAAACTCTGGATCAGAGTGATTCATTAAGGAGCTTAGGTTTGACAATTAAGCTATGTATTTTCCCTTCTCTAGCTCAGATGTGACACTGCAGGTAGCAGCAGACTCTGCCCATGCTCCTCTGGTCTGTGCTGGAGGGTAACGAGGGCACTGTACGGACATGGCCTGGGTGATTTTCTCCTTGACATAGCCCTCACCTTTCCTGACCTCTCCCCTCAATACCAATCAATTTCTGGAATATCAGTGACACGTGCGAATGGGGATTGAGCCAGCACTTTATAACACGTGTTAACGTTGCTCTTTGAGCGCATCCATCGAGGAGGAAAAGATGCAGGCTGTGCCCTTCCCTGTCCCCTGCAGAGAGCAGCAGTGCCGCAGGCAGTGACCAGGCTGTCCCCAGCTCTGTGCGGAGGTGATGCTCAACCAAACCATCTCCTGGCTCATCTATTGAGGTTTACACAAAATACATTGGCCGTAGGGGTGTTTTGTACTGCATGGCTGCTAAGTGTATCAATCTCTATTTACCTGTCCTGGTTTCGGCTGGGATAAAGTTAATTTTCTTCCTAGTAGCTGGTATCATGTTGTGTTTTGGATTTAGCATGAGAATAATGTTGATAACACACTGATGTTTTAGTTGTTGCTAAGCAGTGCTTGTACTAAGTCGAGGACTTTTCAGCTTCCCATGCTCTGCAAGTAAGGAGGTGCACAAGAAGCTGGGAGGGGGCACAGCCAGGACAGCTGACCCAAACTGGCCAAAGGGACATTCCATACCATGTGACATCATGCTCAGTAAAGAAACTAGGGGGAGTTGGCCGGGGGCGGTGATTGCTGCTTGGGGACTGGCTGGGCATC